CATTATTCAGCGAGTCACTCAATAGAAAGGAGAAAGAAAAAACTCTGATACTTACAATTTCTCTAAAAATCCTACTGGCTGCCTCCTAGAACTTCATCTCGCATCCAAAGTCAGTTCCTCACCCGATTTGTTGTCCACGCCCAACGCCTCTTTGCCCCGTGCGGCTCTCCTTTGACGATTAGTTTGAAGCCTCAATCCCTTCAGTTTCGTTTCTCGCGGCCTATATCCGAAGCTAACCTGCCATTTGACCTTCGCACTTTCGGACCCTCCGTCTCCTCTCATTGTCGTTTGTCCAGACGTGGAAGCCAGCAATTGAGCCCCTCTTTCCATCTGACATAGCCCTCATTTGGCCAAAATTGACCGAACACAAATGCCCCTACGTAAACGTCTCCGGTCCAAACACTAATCTGCCTCTAACTATTGCACCACTAATCTGCCACTTCAGTTTACTCGAGATCCCAAGAGGAGGCAACCCATGATTGATAATCATATTTTATGAATACTACAATCAACGATTGTTAGTGTTGGTAGAATGAAACCGATGGTGTACTCGGTACAACGAAACCATAAGATCTTGATCGGGTTTGCCTCCATCCCCCACAACCAAAATTAAAACTGTTGCACGTCTAAACATCGATTTATCATTAATCGAGAGTTTTCTTCTATGCATTAGTAGTGGTAATTAACTATGAGGGCTTACGCTCATAGGAAGTGGAACCCCATAACTAAGTAAACCGTGCCGATCATCGGGTGAGATTTGGTTAATTAAAATTCTAATCTACCTCGGAGAAAATGGGGACAAAGTTTGCGAAAGCGGGGTTAGTGCCATAGCGCCATCTTTTCCTGAGCGAACATTCACATTGCATGTTTTGCCTATACTTGGTTGTCACTAGTATAGTTTGTGCCATGTGGCGTGCTCCCATTACCATATAGAAACTAACATCATTACAAAAGGAACACATGATTAGAATCAAGAGAAGTGAATGTAACAATAGAATGGGAACTACTAGGAAATTCAAGTTCAATGCCTGAAATGTTAAAGGATGTTCCTAGGAACTATTCCTATATTGCCATGATACCCTCTTCATTTTTTTAATTTCTTGTAGGATACGATTTCAAGCTCAAGATGACCCATCAACAAATTCTATATGCAGTCAAAGATTATTTCCGACATACAACAATATATTACTAAATTTAAAGTTATTATCTTAATAATTATAATACTTATATTTGAAATTTGATAAAGGGCTTAAAATATTGTTCTCATAATCTATGAAAGTATATTTAAAGAATTCTCCCACTACAAAATGTTTAAAGAAATTTGACCTATTAATGAAATAATAATATCGAAATATAATAATAGTACTGTAACAAACTAATTAATAATAACATAGGTAATAGGTGGCATTGTTGCTGACCTCTATATGCACTCCATATTCGATTCAAGTAAGTGTGATTAAGATGACAATCAACTTACACAACGTTGCACACAATAGGTATAAAATACCTCGACGTTGTGCAAAAATAACTCAATTGCTTCTATTGGTGAAGTTGATCGCGTTGATGCATTCATCACATCGAATTTACCAAAGAATAGTCAATCATGCATAAGTTGATCGAGTGACCACTAAAATGGCTATCTATGGGTGTGAAAATTGTGCAAAACCATTCGAATGTCTTTTTGCAAAAATGATTGCACTATTGCATTCAAAATATTGAAAACACTAAGGAAGAACGTCCCATGCTCTATTTGAGCGAACACGATCAAAACAACAACCTACGAAGGTGACGTTGTACAACGTCGCCCAAAACATTGTCCGTCAATGAACGAGCTTTCCCAACACATCTGAAATGCCAAAATTACCTGAAAATGACACTCATATTTTTGGGTCGTTGCATGATTCCAAACTCAAAATTTACCTAAGCATGAGGCATCGACATAAAAATTGAGGTGCATGGGAAACAAGAAATCACGCAGATCATTTTAATTCACATCTTTATTTTATTTCATTATATATATATATATTAAATTGAATAAAAAAAGGAAAAATCAAATAAAAATCTCTTATCCTATTAAGTCCTCTTTATCCCTGCCTATCCCGTTGGTTACTCAACTGACAACAACAACATTAATCCTTTGTCCCACTATGTGGTTACTCAATAGAAGATGGGGGAAAATAGAAAACATATCTAAATCTCCCTAGCCAAAATTGTAGACCCCATTCTCGTTCTCAATTTTGCATGCTTCTTATCCTTGCTCTTCTTTTGTATCAAGCGAGACTGACCCCTTCCATGTCCCTCGCATGTGCTAACCTTCGACCACCCATCTCTGAATTGAACATGCGCTACTAGCAGCTGCTAGGTTGAGCTCCTAACTGGAGCAAGTGCTCTCCCATAACCAAGAGAGGTAATTTAACATAGGATCTTGCTCCTATAAGAAATATGATCCCAACTCTTAAAGTCCTTGCAAAATGAGGGTAAAATCTTTGGGTAGTATCTTATTTTTAATCTAAATTGCCATCTAAAAATTTTACTTGGAACAATATGGTGAGGCCAGGGCAGGAATTTTCAAAGCCCACAATTGGTTAAATAATTATTAAAATTCATAAAACGTGGACCCAAAATAATGCTAAAATTGATAGTCTTTTCTATCTGTGTTGTGTTTCACTATATTAGATATTTGCATTAGATTTTTTATTTTTGTTTCTTAATTTAGGACAAGTTTGTGATCATCCATATCAATGCTGCCATTTGTCTGTTGAGTGCTGATGTTTGATATTGCTTATCGTCATAGCTTGGTGTATCCTCAAATCCTAGGGTTGATCCAATCTGATCAATATTCCCTAAGAACACATGGTAGAATCATCTCAATCTGGAACTATTTGGTTTCTTTTAAGCAATATGAACGAACTCCAACTTCACGTTTTAAATAAACTCGAGGAGTTAATTTGGATAAGATTATTTGGTTTCCTTGGTTTTCCTTCTTTGGACAACATAAGAATTTGGTGGGGGAAAGGTCTCTAGATGGCTTAAATTTTTTTGGCCAAAGTTCCCCAATTTCTCAAAAACATATCACATTCACGATGACTATTTTTGGGTTTTACTTCCCCAAACCAACAGCACCAATTAGCCAAAGAATGAACAACTGGAGACATTGAATTAATTTTTCTATTTAGGTTACCAATTTTTGATTAAATGCTAATCATGTGGGTCTTTACCACAACTTTTCCATCTCCCTCAACTCTCATTTCTAATTCAAAGAACCATCTTCTTCTGCCAAGAAAAAGGGGTGCATTAAAGAAACAAGAATATCTCTTTCAAAGAAAAATATTGAAGACCAGGCTAGGTGTTAATCCTTAGAGATCAAAGATACGGAGATCTGTGTTTTTGATTAATAATTCTCCAAAATGGGTGCAATAAATAAATTGAAGAGAAATTGTGTTGTTGGACAATGTGCTGGGTAGATTTTTAATCTCCAAAACGAATAAAAAAGATACTATTTATGTAGTTCAAAATAATTAGATTTACTACCACTGAACTTGCATTATTTGCCCTAGCATTCAAAGGTTTAATTATATTCAAACCAATAGTAGTAAACCTATCTAGAAATAAGACATACAAGTAGGAAACAATACTAGTGATCACGAGACCGTGCTGGGCAGGGAGATAATGATGAGGAGCTCTTTTTATAGTAGAAATCTTAGTCAATTCAACCGAAAGGGGTGGGGGGTGCTATTGCTAACAACTAAAGCACAATCAAAGGAGATATTCATGCTTTAACAAGCTACATTACACTAAGGTAACACACGCTAGTATCGAAACAAAAAATCCAGCATTGTATTAAGTGAAGCATCT